TATATATATATAAAATAAGAAAATACTAAATAAAAAAGTTTATTTTCTGACCACTATGATTTTTGTGTGAGTTGTGAAAGTTTTATGATTTTTGTGTGAGAAAACAAAGTGGTGTGACTTTGACGAAGAAAAGTCATAGTTATATGATTTTTGTGTGAGAAAACAAAATTATATGACTTTGGTGAAAAAAAATCATAGTTATATGACCATTTGTGAAATTTACCCGTGTACTTTGGGGCCATTAATACTTACTCTTGGTAAATCATCTTGTATTTACTCTTGACTTTAATGGAGTTCCAGCGTGAATTGAATGTATTCTGTATGTCAAAATATTTTGGGAGAAGATACTTTTGACTTTGCTTCAAATATCCTATGTATACTTTAGGTTGGAGTTCTATTAATATCAATGCGAATACATCATTTGCCAGCGGCAAGAGTACCAATAACTCCTATTTCGTATAGTAAATGGATATCTTTAACCTTTTTACTCTTTATGCTATAAACAGGTAACCGTCCATATTAAATGAGATTATTAATATGAAAAAATAAGACAAATTATATGCTACAAAAGATTAAAATACACGAATAGTGAAAAATTTCTCTACACTGTCAATCTGTATAAGCTAAATCCATTATTCAAAGAGTTTAAACCATACCTTGTTTTCATATAGTGTCCAATTTGTGATGAGTTCAGATAGCATAGCTCCAAGTAAACCAAACAATGCACCAGAAGCACCAACAGAGATTTTTTTCCTCACAAACAGAGCTGATAATAGACTCCCTCCAACCCCAGCCAAAACATAAAGCGGACCAATTCTCACTAGAAAAACAGATAGTAGAAGTTAGAAAGTAATTATGGCAGTACTATTAAAACAAAAGTTAGGAATTTCAGTAAAAGCATTCAAGAGTCTTCAACATTTGATATATTTGTATAAAAGGCAATATTTGATATATATATATATATACAGTATAATTTTTCGGCGAAAGGAGTCCAACTGACCACCCTTCGTTAGTTGTAGCTCCGATCCGCCCATGGTTGTAGTCAGTAACGAGCAGTACTTTTCAAGTTACTTATTTCATCTATTATATATGAATATTTAAGTTGATAATTTGGAAGTGTAAAAATTCTTTTACGTACCAAATCCAAACTCTTGCTCAAGCCGAATACCTACAAATAACAAGCTCAACATATTGGCAGCAACATGAAATACACCAGCATGTAACCACATGCAAGAAAGTAATCTCCATAATTGACGGTCTTCAACCACTTTTTTCACGTCAAGAGCACCCAACTTTTGTAACCTATAAGAATAAAAATAATGAGCATGTCACTAGAACTTTACATTCTTCAAAAACCCTTGATCAAGTGAAAAGGTTACACACAGAGCGGTGTACACATGATTTTGTGTAAACAGTATCGGCCTATTATACTAATTCGACATGTAAATGAGTTTGAGCTTAGGACTATCTTGGTTCTACGGTTTTACTTTCTGTCTCAAATTGATGTTTACGTTGCATTATTTTTCAAGAGAAGTCGGCACATATATATGTATACATATTTTTTTTTTTTTTTTTTTTGGGAAAATACATTTAAATAAACACACGTAAGAAATTCTTCTTTCCATGATACCCCTTTATTTCTAAACGGTGTCTCTCCCACGGAATTACGTTGCTTTACGTATAAAATATGTATAATGATATCTCTAATGATGATTTGTGAATGAACTAATATATCAAAAGAAATGATGATCAACATTTATTTTACCTTGAAAATCAAGGAAATAAAATACAGAAAGGGACTTACGTTGTTGTGGAGGGACCAAGTAAAGGGTTTTCATGGACATCTTGAAATGCATAACGACCAAAGATCTCGGTTCCAAAACAATTTTGACTATTACGAGGACAATCGTTAACGTACATAACAAGTACAAAAAGAACAACATTGACAATAGTAATAATAGGTACTAGCCATGGCAACCATTTTGTATAGGGCTGATAATTAGGCGGCGGGCCCGGAGGACGAGAGTGTTGGTTAGAATAATGTGCCGGGTACCGATCACGTTCCTCCAGATTCGGACCACTGTCCCGAGGTTGAACTTTGATCGTGTCGAGGTCCGACTCCGGCGAAGAATTACTCGACGGAGTCCTCCTTCCCATAATGTTGCCTTGATCAAAGAACAAAACGGGGAGGGAAAAGGAGAGAAAAGAAATAAGGGGTTATGAATTTTTATGTGAAAAAGTCCATTGGTTGATGCAGCACTAATTGAGGAAGAGCATTCCAATGGATTGCATGTTGTGAAACATAGGAGGAGAATACTAAGTTTTTGGAGAGAGCCTATACTAATAGAAAGAGAAATGAGATCTAGGAGGTTAATATTTTTACACAAGATGAGGGGTCCAATTTGGTTTAATTATTATACTCAATATTATGAATTTTTCAATGCTTACAATTTTAACAGGATTGTGGCTTGACAGAGCTGATGTCTCAATAAAATTTTATCACGTAGTTCAATTGAAGCGATACGGTCAAAATTTGTACCTGATCATCAAAAACATAAAAGGGTTTTCAAAACTTACACTATAATATTGTACCTTTTACAACGTAAATACCATTTGAATCGTGATTTGGGAACTCTTAATCATTTCTACAAGTTTTAGTATATGTATAGATAGATGGTATATAGACTGGTTGCATGAATTATATTCTTACTCTAAAATTTTCACGATAAAAGATGGCGATATTTCTGGAACACAATGGTTTTGATGTAGCTAATGATTCAATCGAACGTAGTATTTTCACCATAGAATATAGCAATGTATGTGAAAAATTGGGGTGGGATTTTGATTTTATTTGATGTGATTTGAGACTTCGATTAAGTTCGTATCGTGTATTAGAACGTGTTGGTAAGTTTGGATGGGGTCCCAGGGGCCTCGGGTGAGACTCAGAATGATTTCGGATTGGTTTTGGACTTAGGAACTTGGCTGAATTTTTTTGATGCCTGGTGTGATCGCACCTGCAAGAATGGGGCCGCAGGTGCGAAGTCGCAGAAGCGATAAGAGGACCGCATGTACGAAGGTTGGCTAGGCTGGGCAGAGGCCACAAATGCGAGGCGATTTCCGCATCTGCGAGTCCACAGATACGAGAGAAGTTCCACAAAAGCGGGCCTGAGGCAGGGGAGGCTGAGTCGCAGAAGCGAAGAAGTTCCGCAGGTGCGGGACTTGGACCGTAGAAGCGGACCCGCAGAATCGGGATCTGGCTGCAGAAGCGGCGGGTCGGGACTTTAATGATTTTTCGCAGAAGCAAGACTTATTACGCAAAATCGGAACCGCAGGTGCGATGGTTGAGCCCGTAGAAGCGAGATCGCTAGGCAGTGTTTAAAACCGAAGGGTTAGGTTGATTTTCTCATTTTTGGGATTTTAAAGTTCAGGCTAGGGCAATTTTTGGAGAGATTTCTACCTATATTGAAGAGGTAAGTGACTTCTAATTATTTTTGTCCATAAATATTGAATACCCATTGATTTTTACACCTAGATTATATGTGTTTGAGGTGAAATTTGGGGGATTTTTAGTCTATAAATTGGAGAGTAAGATTTGGGGATTTGAGGGTCGAATTGTGGTTGGAATTAGATGATTTTGGTATGGTTGGAATCGTAATTGAATGGATGTTCGGATTTTGTGAATTTTGTCAGGTTCCGAGGCGTGGGTTCGGGGTTGACTTTTTGTATTTGGTTAAAGACCTTAGCTTTATCGTATGGAATCGATTCCTATAACTTGTATTGATAATATTAAGTGATTTTCGATTAAATTCGAGTCCTTCGGAGGTCGATTCACAAAGCAAGGGTTTGTTGGAGTATTGAGTTGTGCACTTTGAGGTAAGTAACACTTTTAAACTTGAAACTGGGGTATATATCCCTGGAAATTGTGTTATTTGGGTTGTGTTGGGGTGACGCACATGACAGGCGTATGAGCGTGTACCGTAATAATCATGATCCGGTTGATTCCTTATACTGTGTTGATATCAAGTCTTGTTTGATCTGTGTAATCACTACTTATAGAGTAATTGGAATGTGATTCATGTTAGAAATCATGTTTAGGCTATATGCTTATCCGGTTAAGATCTAATGATGTTATTTATGTTGTTTTAAGTTATCTACTTTAACTGCAATTATTACTCGGTCATGATCCTTCATTTGTATTTCATATCTCGGTCTCTGTTATTATTTACTGTTATATCACATGTCGTTTTTATCTGGACTGAGTAGTACGAGGTTGTGAGCCTTGAGACTTGTGAGATTGATGATTGAGGTGGGCCTAAGAGCCGGATTGTGAGAGTTATTACGGATCGGGTTGCACGCCACAATAAGCCTTATTGGCTTATTTATTACTGTGGATCGGGCTGCACGCCGCAGCAAGTCTTTGATGGTAGGCTAGAAACCCGTATTTTAGTCATAGTTTGCACTCTAATTACTGTATTTTACTTGTGCTTGAGCTTAAATGTTAGTGTATTGTACTTATTATATATTTTATACCTTGCAGGAAGTGATTCCGAGTTAAAAAGATAATCAAGAGCTAAATCAAACAAGTTAAGGCGTTGAAGTCTGAGTAAAATCCCAAAGAATTAAACCGGGTTCAGGGTTCGGGAGCCAAGTCTGTATATCAAAAATTGAAGAAAATGAATTAATTTGGAAAACTAATACTGCCGCTCCGCGTGGGGCGGCACACCTGTACAAATTTCTCAGAGTATTTTTCTGTTTCGACTTGAGAAGGCTAGTTTCGTCGGGGCCCACTTTTACATAGTATAAATACACCAAAAAGGACGTTTTTGAAGGGACTTTTGATCTTGGAAGCCTTGGGAGAGCATTGGAGGCTACAAGACACAAGATTTCATCATCTTTTCATCAATTCAATACGGGAGTTTGGATTGTAATGTTAGATTGATATTTTTTTACTCTTTAATTCTATTTGTGATGACTTTCTCCATATCTATGGAGTAGTTTACTTAGGGTTTGACATGATTTGGTGACTTGGTTGTTATTTATGGATTTGACTAGTGTTTAATTGCTTGGATTTATTGGAGGAGCTTTAATATTAGTTTGTGATTTTATTCTTTATAGTTTTTAATCGAAAGAGGAATATCTTATTTAATATTATTGCAGTGTATACCTTAGTTTATTTTGGTGATTCTTTAAAGTAATCGAGAGAGATTTTTGAGTTACTGTTTAAATTAAGATTGAGAAATATTCGCAAGAAGTTTCTCTCAGATCATTCCTACCAATAGATTCTTGCAAATTTTACCGCACTTCACATTAGTTTATTTGAAAGATTTAGATTTAATCGAGAGAGGAGTCTAAATCGAAAGTATAAAGTAATCACCTATTGAATTCATGAGAATCGATAGAACCTCAAGAGTGAAATATAACAGTGTCATATCCAGGATAGCAGTCTTGCACCTATCATGTCAAAACCCTTATTCTTCGTCTTGATAATAATCCATTGCTTTACTCTCTAGTTCTCTGTGATCAATTGTTAATTGCTTTTAATTTTAATAATTAATTTTATTCCGTACTTATTCCAATCAAAGTGTTAATCATCCTGAATAGCGTTAAACTAGAAATTACTTGAACATTATTTAAATCCAATCCATGTAGAGACGATAATTATACTATACTATCTTTGGCTAGCGAGCATCATTTTCTTGTTGTGTTTTGCGCTCGTCAAATTTTGGCACCATTGCTCGGGATTGGCAATCAATAGTGTTCAAAATAGTTTTTGGTGCTAATTCAGGAACCTATTTTATTTTATTCTCCAGAGGTCTTCTCTTCCGTGTGCAGGCAACATGTTGGCTTTTCTTGTTTATGACTCGATCTTCTTCAAAGGAAGTGATACCCTACAAATCAGAGTTGGAGAAATACCTGCGACAACTGAGGAAAGAAAGAGAATTAACAGCAAATTTATTTGGTCATACTTCGGCTCAAGATAACATGGCAAACAAAGAGATTGACGGAGTAGACTTT